TTATCAAGGATCTCTTTTCGATGAATACCCCATTTTTTTTTTTTTATTTTTTTTAAATTGTTTTTTTTTTTTTTTGATAAACAAGTATCAATACTTAATGAGAATTCATATATTTTTCAACATCTAGATATTGATTTTTTAGTTTCTAACATTACACATAATTCATAGGATTTAACAGTAAATTTCTAACATTTTATTGTAGGCTAAAGCATCAAATGTAGGAGCATATAAATGTCTTTTAATAATTAATTTTAATTTTACTAATTCGATCATTAAAATAAAAGAGTAAATGAGTAATAATAATAAAGTAAACCAATCTCATAAGTTTCTGAAACCTTCCCCTTGAAAATTTGTATTTTACYAAAACATTTTTAAAAAGGGATGCAAGACATCACATTATGTGAGTATAGTAAGTTCTATATATATATATATAATATTATAAAAATTATTTTTTGCGTGAAGATAATGAAAATAAAATCTTTAATTTGTTAAAGACGCATGGGTTATTAATTGTTATACCTCACAGCGATGACACAAAAATGCCGCTGTAATCGAGGATTGATAGTAAAACTTCCTGCAGTTGGATTCATGCAGGACACATACTGACAGTTGTGAATGTCTTTTAATGACAGTTTAGTTCTGTCGTACCAGTGGCCGTAGTCCAAATGTTGTCGTATCAGAGTGTGTGGTTGAACAGTTCCGTAGCAATCTACCTGGAATTTCAAACAATTAGCAATTACATATTCATACAATCATAATAGAAGATATACCATGGTTTTCTGCCCCTTAAATAATCACATTAATTTACATGCTCCACGATTTTAAACGTTTACTAAGTTCATATTATAATAAACAGTTAATTCAGATATTTAAAGTAATATTGTTAATTGTTATTAGTTATTAATTATATTATTGTATAATAATTATTTTACTTCAGGCATATTCATGTCATCTATAAAGTATATGAGTGTTTTATTCCCCGGTGGTCCATAATTTCGGCCAGCTTTTTTTTCTAGTGGTTTTTCGAGTATTTTTTGCAACATCTCTGTAATTACCCAAAACAAATAAATATAAACACAGGAAAAACTATATAAAAATGTACAAGTATTTAACACTGCATTTATCGTAACCAGAGCTTATAAATTCCTATGCATGCGTATAGTATCAATCTTGTCCACTCATGTTCAATGGTAAATAACATTGAATACTTACTTTCAAAATATAATTACCAATTTTGAGTTTAATYATAATTTTACCAATATACAAATAATATGTTTTTTACTGCATATTCGAGTAATTTTTTTTGGCACGGATCGGGCTTAAAAGCTCTTATTGACCATATCGGCAATGACCATATTGATCATGATGAACGAATTTATCATAACGTTGGATGCGTAATTACCCGAAGTCGTATAGTAGTTGAACGGTATATTGGTCACTGCATAATTTTCCGAAAGACTGGCCAGTTTTTCATTCATCAATACTGTTTTTCCGCAGCCTGCGCTCCCGACTAGCATCACTGGGTGTTTGTGGTCCATAAGAAGGTCCACAAAAAATCGGGTCCTTATCGATTCCGGCGTGTGGACCAAAACGCTCTACGTGAAACGGAACAGTGGCATGAAACGTCGAGCGGTTAATAAACATTGTCATACCTGCAGGGGCATGTCCGAGTCCAGTTCAAATTTTGGGATGACGTGAGTCCATGGTAGGAACTCCTTGGTTTCCGTGTCGATGTAGTAATCGAATACAGTGCCCTGGGATGGATATTTAATGGTTTTGAATTCGGCTACCCACCATTTGGAAAACTCAACCTTGTAATCGACTACCTGAGTGGCAAAAATAAGAGACGATTTTAATCGGTGACGTAGTCTCCAGGTGGTTTTAATAATATAATCAACAGCTCCCAAAAAAATCACGAATTAAAGAACATTTTGAAAAAAAAAAAATAGGTGATCGATTCCTTCGTAGTACCTAACGCAAAAAGTATGCTCCAATATGAAAAATTATAGGAGTGGAGGAAGTCTTCAGTTCACTATATCGTCATATATACATATTTGATAGAATACCAGAGATTATACAACATATTGGACTATAAATATTTTTTTAATGAAAGATATAATATAATCCTGTGGGAGGATTAATATGCTGTTTATCACCCATGTATTGTATATTTGAGGTTGTCGACATTTTAGGATCTATAATCTCCATTCCTCTAATTTTTGATGCCCTCTATGTACTTATAGGTGTCTTAAATGACCAGCAATCGGCATTTATTACTTATAGTGGTGTATTTTTTGCTGCCTGTGTATATTTTTTCAAGGGGCAGAAGTGCTGTTATCCGTTAAAATATTTTAATGGCGGTAAATTAGTGTAATATTATTTTACGGGATTCCTGATCTTTATTCTCACCTGTTCTTGGTATATAGCCGCTCCGAATGACCATATGCATACAAACGTGAAGTATAGTTCGTACCATTCTTTCGGACAGTCTGTTGGTGTATTCGCTGGCACTAAAATGCACTCGAGCAAATGACACAACATTTGTATATGTGACATTTCCGTAATTGGTATGATTTTTTTGAACCTGTTACGAATGTTTTCCAGACATGGTGGTATATATTTGTCGAACAAGATTACGAGGTTACTCTTCTCCACAGCGTACTCTCTAGTCTCGATCCAACTCGTCACATACCTGTACAGAATGTAAAAAAAAATGATTGCAGATTGTTTAGATTTTATAAATAAATATTAATTTTTTTTACGGATTCCATCCCAAGTCTTGTGGATTTAAGTATAAAATACCCGCGCGGGATACGGTGGCTGGTGTAGCAGTCCGTAAGTTGGATATTTCAAAAATGAGTCTCATCGAAGGAGTTAAGGCAATACGTTCATTGCTGGCTAACGTTAAAACCTAAACAACACAGATGTCTCAAATGTATAGATTATACATTACATTTTATTCTTTATTACATATGCTATGTAAATACCTTGTTGTCGTCCATCACAGTGTTCAGTGATTCAATCCACATTGGATCAATATCGCCATCCAATAAAATCCATTTAGGAAAGCTGTTCGGGATGTTTGCTTGTTCTCTCATTATAACAGAAAATAAACCTTTAAACGATAAAAGAAATAAACAGTCAGAATCTGGTTTGAAATTAATGATATTATACTATGATGTCTTAGATAATATTATTATTACATATTTTATTTTAGTAATATTTTTAAAACACTATGATATCGAAATTTACCGTCTTTCCACTCGCGGGTAGCAGGGTTGATGACACCGAATAGTTCATCATTAGTTACTGCTTTTGGGTTCAAATCGTTGTAAATCGGTTTTCGTTTTATGTTTTGATATGTTCTAAATAGCGTTTTCCAAACTTCAGTTTTTCCAGTGCCCGCATTTCCGACAACAAATACAGAATGACGAACTTCCAAAAGCTCTTCTAACTGTACAACCTGTTTAGTAAAACGTAATTATTACACTGAAACTAGATATTTACTAATTACACGATTTTTAGTGTACTTTGAGTATGAAATTTTCTTCGGGTTGCAACAGTAAATCAACGGCCGCTTGTTTGACAGTCTTTTCAAAATCCTGGTCCCTTTTACGCGGTACGTCCAGCGATGGAAACAAATCCCCAATAAGTCCCATAAATACTGGAACGTCGTCACTAATAATTTTTGGTATGTTGAAATCTCTTAAAGCCCTCATCAACACTTCTTCTTCGATACGTCCGGGATCACCTCTCTAAATAATTTTTCAATATTTTAATCGTGCGATTCGTGTTACGAATAGTAAAATAATTTACCTTCAAAGAACCAGCTACAACTAACACAGACTTGATGGCCCTTAATCCCCAGTCATAATGATCCTGCTTGGAAAGCAGCTCTTTACACAGCGTATACAATGTTATAAATTTCCTAGCAAGAACTTTTGCTTCTTGAAATCCTTCGGCAACCAACATTATTTCACAGATTAGTTCAAAATCTGGTACTACCATGGCGCACGGCCTATTGAATTGAAATGCTTATTTAGTAAAAATTGTCAATTTTCTTTATCAAGAGATAAATATATCCCATTTACTAACCTAAATAGAGCTTTTAAATTTTCTGGTAACTCTGTTCTACCAGCATAACCAGGATTCATCGTTATAAAAATTCCAACAGACGGAATCAAACTTATTTTTTCTCCCATAAAATTAAACGTGTGTGCTTTTTCTCGAATTGCATCCTGGAAGGGACAAAAAGTATTTTATATTATAGTAATATTAATTTCTAACATGAAAACAAAGAATTAATATTATAGCTGCTAAAAAATATATACTTGGATTAAATTGACATAATACTTAAATACTAATTATAATACCATGTACCTGAATAGATTTTACTTGGACAGCGACCACTGATAATACTTCAACAGATATTCTGTTGAACTCGTCAAAACAACCCCAGGCCCCTGTCTGAGCCAATCCTTTATAAATGTTGCCACACGACTAAAATGTATATATTTGTTTGTAAAACAGTTGTGTTCATTGGTCACGCGTTACAATACATATATAACATGATATTATACCTTGTAATCCATTTGCTCTGAACAATTGAACACGTAAACCATGACGCCGAGAGCGCGACCGAGATCTTTAGTTGTCTCTGTTTTTCCCGTTCCAGCGGGTCCGGCAGGTCCTCCACCCATTACCAAATGTAATGACTGATAATTGAAAAAAAAAACAATTTCTATTATTTTATTCATAAAATGGTCGTAAATTGTGATTCCTACTTGCGTTAGGGTTATGTAACATCTGTCTGTTAACGGAGTAATTACTAAACGCGGTGTATTTCCTAAATATTCATGACTGTATCGAAATTGTGCATCACAGATATTAGCGAARCAATCTTTTTCCTTTTCGTCCCACCTAAAATTAAAATAATTTTTACTTTTTAGGTACCTAGTTTTTATTTTATCTCAAACTCTACTATCAGTATACCTCTGTTAATTTTGTAGTATTAATTTTTAARCAAACTATAATTTATAATATGCATAAAATTGTTTAATTAATAACAACACACACATTTTAAATTCTTTATTCTGTAGCAGAGGAATTTCATAAAACTATTAATGTAAAAATATATGGAATATGCARCGATTAATTTTCTACTAATTATAGTTTAAAATAAATAGATAATTTGAGTAATAGTGGTGYACCGCAAACTCCTTACCTTTCTACTACTTTTATCTAAAGTTAAACTCTTTACACATAAACATTGAAATAATGTTCTTTTTTAAAGGTGAAAAAACATCACTATTATTTATAAAATAAAATTATATATAATAATTTACTATTTACATTTAACTGCTCAGAAATTAATAACATAATAATATGTTGCCATAAGAATAATAAAATTAAATGTACAAAATGAACGTTATAAAAAAGTTTTAAATCATTATAATTACTAATAATTATTAATACTGTAATTGTTAATCTTACTGTACAGTGTACACGAACATCTCTTTGACAAATACTTCAAATTATCGAGATGATGTATRATTCGTGTTAAAAAAAACAATACTGTATAAAGTGTATATAGATACAGATAACAGGCCTATTTTTAATTAGGTTAATATTAGAATTATTATTTAAGTATTGTTATTATTATTATTATTATTGTTATGTATTCAGTAGGTACATACTTAGTATTAGTTCTGTAACAAACCGTTCAGTGACGTCCACTGTATTATAAGTAATTAATAATTATAATATATTATAGTAATAAACCCTCAATTATAATGTTGTCACATATTATATATTTTCATATGAGTTATGACCAGTGGCACCGTTCATTTTATTTACCATATAAGGTTATAGTAGATTTTTTATATGGGGTGACCCACCGTAGGGTAAGCACTACAGGGTTCAGTATTTACGTTAAAACTTAAAAAATAAATGATTAAACATGATTATGTATTTATGTAGATGTTTTTATTTACTTTTAACTGTTAAATTTAAAAAGGGGGATGGTGGAAGGTCCCATGATGTACGATATCATAGTATATTTTACACTTCACTTTATACATTTTGTATTTTGTCTTAGATTTTAGTRCATTTTAAAACGTCGCATGCAWTTAATTAACGTTTAAGTATATACTTGCCTGTGTCTGAGTTGTGATTGCCACTGAAACGCAAGAACGTTTTCAATYTTTGATTGTATTAATCTACCTACGACGTCTCTAGAATGCACATCAATCGTACAAATTGTCATTATTTTTTGTCTGTCTTGTCTGGTCAATTCTCCCAATAATAATGATATCAGCGTGTTCAGTTGAGAAATCTATATATAAACGAATAAAAAYTTGATAGACACACAATAAGTATTTAGTATTATCTACATACCGATAATAAAATATTATTAACTATATACCAACTCGTTTTAAAAACAAAAAAAAAAATATTACGGAAAGCCAAAACAAAAATTTGATTAAATTTAATTAAGTTTATAATACTTTATTATAAAATTGGTTTAAAGAATAAATAATACAACTATACAAGTAATGCAGTTATTTATTTAAACATGAATCAATTGGTAAAATAAATAGATTTCTTTGACTCTTTTCGATAAGCGATAATTCAAGTGAGTTATGTTTATTATGTATCAAATGCATCAATATTCAATATATTATTTTTCAAATACATTATGATTAATTCTTTGTTTATAGGTGTTTTAATTTTAATTATTATTTCTTGTTCGAACTACCTAATATAATRGTTAATACTTAATGATGTACTAAGTCTTAAAATAATATTTATTAATTTTATTTTGATAAAACATAAATTCTGCAGTAACTACCTACCCGATAATATTTTATGAGAGCATTTATCATTTAACAGTTAGGTACCTATAATAATTTTTATTATTATGGGTCACGTATTCCTTGAGAATTATGACTTTTTGAGTACCTATTGATTTTKTATATACTCTGTTACACAATACACATACAGAATACGGACATTGGTAATGGATTGCCGAATGAGTTCTATTTTCAAATACTGTATAATTAGCCCCCACCACCCTCTATCCACACACACTCCCTAAATAGTTTCATGTATTAAATTTAATCTTAATGGGATAATATATTTTTGATATTTTGGTTTCCTATACGTATTAAATTTTACGTTATAACCTTAAGACCCCTCCTTTCCACCCTGAAATTTATTTTATTTTCTCGCATATGATGACGTAGGTATTTACACTGTTTTAAGAATATATTTTTTTTATAATCACTTGTTTTCTTTGATAGTCTTTGAGGGCGTTTTCGTAGCCTTCTTCAAGCCTAGCAAATGCTATGTTTACTTCCGTAGTCCACCAAATCTGAGTACCACACAACGATACTTGAGCAGGATAATCAAACAACCACTGTTCTCTTGGTTTCTCTTCATAGGATAAGGTACTTTCTAAAAAATTATGCCTAATCGTTTCACGCATCATTGCTTGTATCTTGTTGAGCCATTTTTCTACCTGTAAAATACATAGTATGGTAAAATATCTATAACACAATACAGTTATATGAATATTTAATTTCTAGTTCATAAATACTAAGGGTAGGCAATTATATTTATTAATAATTAATGATTTTTAAGTATTTGTAATTTTTATTCAAATCTGTAAATTTTATTCATATTTTTAAACTGCGATAGTACCTAATAAAAAATATTKATTTTATATTTATATGTATATTACTAATACCTAACATAACTATTTCATTATAATTGTATTAATTGTCGATCAATTTTAGATTATGTTCCTAACTAYATATTATARTATRTTATCAAAATTTTAAGTATAGAATATACATATTTCATTGAGTTAAAAGAATAAGAAATAAAATGAATACCTCTTTAATTTACTATAGATAGGTAAATAAGAATATTATTATAACTACTTGTTATTAGTAATATAAATACATGGTAATAAACTAATAAATAATTATATAAACATATATATAAAAATGTAAAACATTGACTTTTCTAAGACAGAATCGCTCATTTTATAAAAATAATACAATTTAATAAACTAATAAATAATTATATAAACATATATATAAAAATGTAAAACATTGACTTTTCTAAGACAGAATCGCTCATTTTATAAAAATAATACAATTTAATAAACTAATAAATAATTATCTAATGGTTATAGAATTAGATTAAATCGGATAATATATGCATTAAACAGAATATAATATTACCATAAATATTAATGTTTTAATGAATCTATAAATTAATATACTATACAGAATTACAGAATGCCACTATACACATGTAAACTGATTAAATGTATTCATTATATATTTAGTATTTATTTAGTTTATTCGCTTATAAACAAAATAATATTCTAAAAARGTGTTGTCTAAAAAATTTTGTGTTACGTTATACTACCTAACAGATTGTAAATATTTATGAACTACTAGTTCCTACAATATTAATAGTTAGTAATTTTAATTATTTGCCAAGTTGAATATTTAAAAATTGTATTTATACCAAAATACTTAATACATAATAATATAAACTTGTATGTAAAATTATACTATAAATTAAAATATTTACAAAAGCTCATTATTTTTGCTTTGAAATTATCTTGAAAAATAGTTCTAWAAATTAAAATACGTTTACTTATACAATAATATATAACACCAAATATGCAATTTGTTTGAATTAGATATTCGTTTAAAAATGAATAAACATCGCATAAAACATTAAAAAAAAAATTTTTTTTATAAGTTAGGTAACTGATGAATAATTATTCTACTATTTCTACTTCTGTTTTTCGATCTTATACAATTGTTTATATAAGTACTAATAAGTAGGTACGCTATACCTTATACTGTATAGGTACATAATATTATCAAGTCTGTCAAAACAACAACACTCGTCAATCGGTATGAACTTATTTAGTAAAATTGTTTTCTAAATAATTTTTCCAGTCCCCAGTAAGTACGTTAGCTGCAAGTTGATTTTCAATTTTAATTTTAATTATTAACTATATATTACTATCTTTTTACTTTGTTTTATTCTAAAGGTCTTTAMACTCTAATGGACTAGGTACATTAGAAACTGAAAATAGTCTTGGCAAAGTATTGAGAATGAATTACTCTTCTTGGTGCCAATTCTACTAACCTTTACATAAGAGTATATATATATATATGATATCGAAATAAATTTCACTCGTAATCTAAATATATAATCATGTAATAGTTATTATTTTATTTTAATATCCAGGGGTAAGCTAGTGTATTCCATTGGATTACAACCAACACATTTTTACAATTTTTTATGTTTTTAACATTTACCAAAAAGATTTTATGAGTTTGTACAATTGCGCCTATACGGCTATACAGCACACAAAACGTACCTACTAATATAATATGTTATAAGTAATAACGCAATTTCTGAAGCTCTGGTAACGTTAAGCTATTGGTTTCTATTATTATAGTTAGATCGACTGAATCCTAAATATTTAAGACCACGCAAATATGAAAAATTATCAGAACGGATACAAAAATGGGCATTTGTTTTTATTGGCAAGTATATATTATTGCAGTGTATATTAGTGTAGTGTTACCTTTTTTATGGAGACCAAAAAAAAATCATTTAAATTAACAATCACATCTGAAATAACTTTTTACAAAGAACCATAGGTAATGCATTATTGCATGATACATACAAAAAATTACAATTATTATTATTGAACAAATTGACAATAGTTAAAAATTGGTGGTGTATTTCAACTTCGAAATACAAACCCGATCAAGCATGGATCATTGAACTTTATGTCAAACTTTGATGGTTCTAACGAAAAAAGTATGTTTTGTGTATTTTGGGTTATTCCAATTTTTTGATATGACTTATGAGATGAAATAATATTATTTTCGTAAAATCAACAGATTCTTGGCCTCGTATGAATTTAAAATAAGTAACGTTACTCAACTACAGTGKACGTAAAATTCAAAGAAAACGTTTTTCATCTTGGATGAAAAACATTTCTAGATGTATTTTTACCATAGGTACAATAAATAAACTTCAGTATTATGATAAAATAAATAATATATTTTTCCGACGTTTAATTTGCGCAGTACACATGAGAGACCACACTTTATAGGTCAAAAACAACGACCACGTCATCAATTATAGTAATAATAATAATAACAATAATAATTAATTGTAAATATAAGTCTTAAAACACATATTATATTAAGTATATGAATATATTACATAAACATTTATTATTTAAATGTATAGATTTATAGCACAAGAAATGCTTGGATTTCAAATTTTAGGGATAATGGTTTCTGATAGAAATTGAATGTAGTATTATAGTTGGTATTTTTTAGTCAACCCTAACAGTAGGTTAGGGCTCTCAGTAGGTATTTTAAAAAAACAAAAACAAATTACAAAACCAATTTTCTACAAAATATTTTTTAACTTAAAAATGATTTGTACGATCGTTTAYGATCGTATATACTTGATATTATCATAKAATATTTATATTAGCATCTTCTATAGGTACATTATAATTTATAATATAGGTATAATATAAAATTCAAAATATTTTGGCGCTTTTTGAGCTGCTTTAGATTTAAGTTCAATAATTTATTTATAAATCGTTAAAAATGTATTACAAGCCACAAGGTTTCTCATAACTAGTCATAAGTCAAAATCACAAAATTTTCCATATTACTTTACATTTAAAAATGTAATATAAGCTTATTAAGATTCTTCATAAGCTTTCTTATCTTGAACTAATAAAAAAGTTTACATAGTAAGCTTTTACTTTTTATCATAGATATTTTAAAACATTAAAGATATATACACAAGCTCGATTTTTTTGTTACAAACGTTTTAATTTTAAATATTGAATATTGTTCTAATCATTTTTTAGCTTAAAACATTAAAATATTCAATATGTATAGCTAATGATTGTAGATTGAATAAAAATTTCTCATAAATATTTTATACATTCAAAACATCTAAATGTATATAATATTAACAGTTTTTT